AAAAAAAGGGGGGGCCCCTCTTTCCCCCCCCCCCCCCCGCATATTTCGCGCTGGTGGTGTTTCCTTTAGTCTGAGCTTCAAGATCTCATTAACGAAGAGGAAATGGAATTTTAAAGGGGCTTTGTCTAGACATTTGCCTGTCCCAGACTTGGATTTATTTTTCCCCTCCTAGCTATCCCAGATGAAATCAAGCCTAAGTACGTGAATGGAGCCAAGTGGTATGGCCGTCGGACGAGGCCAGAGCTCCAGGACACCGAGATGGAAACCACCAAGTATTTACAGGAGCCACAAGTCAAAGCCAATGGGAAAAGTCAGCTGAGACGCTCTGCATCTCTGGAGAGTGTGGAGGTAGGGGTGACTCATTCCCTGGCTATTCTCAATTAGCTGCTCAGACTCTGCTGAACCTCCTTGCTTTACTGAAATCCATGCTTTAACAAAAGGCCCCATTCAGGGTCTGACCAATTCAGCAGGGGCTGCTGATGGAGGTCTTTGAGGAGTTTGATCTGCTTTGGGTTAGCAAGAATTGCTAGTGCTGAGTGCTGGAATGTTGGAAGCTGCTTCTAGGCAAAGAGTTCATGCAGGTGCCACTTGGTCACCAGAGCAGACCCCACTGGAGTGGAAAGGAGGGGTTGTGCTTGCCCCAAACAGCTTCCAGCATAACAAATACCCAGACTGTTAGTTGCCTCAGACTAGAAGATGTTTTTCCTGTAACGCAGCTTATCCAAAAGAAGGCAATTAAGTTGGATGTCAGAATATTAACCTGAGGCATGCAGCATTTCTGAGTGGAAGTTTTTATGAGCAGAAGTTAGGGGTCATTCCTGGCTCTATCAGTGTGCCTGAGCCAAGGCCTGTTGAAGGTAACAAGCACTAGAGTGGGGTTCTGGAGACCTGGGCTCTGCTTCTGGCTCAGGTAAATTTTACATGACTTCTACTCCCCGTGTCTATTTCCCCTGCGACTTCTTGCCAGTCTTTGTCCTTTTAGATTGTAAGCTCTTTGGGGCATGGACTCGTTCATGCTGCAATGGTTTTTGCATCTCAGTGGGATCCTGCCAGACTAAATTGGTTTCTCTCCACCTGAGGCTGAAAGCACAGGTTGGCGCTGCTTATGCTACCTCCAGAGAAGAGCCGAGAAGCCAAACCAACTAACTATATTTAGAGAAAATGTAAGCAGAGCACTAGGGGGGAAAAAAATTTCACGTGGTGTGCCACTGTCAAAGTACTGTGCAAACAGCAACAGACCAGACTTGTAGTTGGGTAGAAAATTATTTGGAGAGAAAACAAATGCTAATGTCTCCAGTGCTGAGAGGGCAGAGTGGCACCCTGATTCAGAGCAGTTTCATTTCCATGGCTTCATCACTAAAGTCTGCTCTGTGCATGACTGGGTCCCTGCCCCTCCCATTCCCTCCCCTGCCTGCACCATCAAGGCCCTTGGCTTGGTTCTTTTGTTTAGCTTGTGCTGCCCCTTTGTGATGGCAGTTTTTTGCCTTTTTGTTGCTCTGGTCTTCATTTCCTTTTATTATATATAAGGGTTTTTATTCCTTGTTTTAGTGTTATGATTTTCATAAACCCCAGTTGAATTTGCTGGCAGTTAGGGGTCAGACTCTCTTCCACCTAATGAGGAATCTAAGTGAACATAGGTGCTTTAGTTAAAGGTGTATCGATACATCAGTCCAATTATTGGATTGGTACCAATATAAAGAAAATTCGCTGCATTGGAAATTGACCCAATGCAGCCGATAATTTGGACGATAAATGTCCCTGTATGTGTTCAGCCACAGTGCAGCACTCAGGCAGCAAGGAGCACAGCCCGGCAGTATGGAGAGCTGCATGCAGCTGTTAAGTTGGTTGCTGGGGGGTGGCGCTCTTCCTGGCGTATGGGTGGAGGCAGGGCATTGAGCTGGGGCTATGGCAAAATTTTGGGATGGCT